GAGAAACACGGATTTTGAGTTTTAGGGGGAATTGCAAAACTGCTTCAAGTTCTCTTTGGAGAAAGTTTCTTAAACATTGACCCTTCTCTGATAAGTATATTTTAAATCTTCTTGTGCCTACTACACCTCATTTTTTCGTATTTGCAAAGAGTTGCAACTGGGCTGAGCAGCTGCCTCCTTTACAAAACTTTCTGTCCCAAAGTGGGGGTGAAGTCACCCACAATATCTGGGGTGGGGTGCAGGAGTGGGATTCAAAAATTTTAACCACCAGTTCTCTGCCCGGTGGCTGGTTGGGCGCGGCCATGGTGGGCGTGGCCTACTCAGCCTCCTGCACCACGGGGGGGGGGGGTGGCATTTTCGCCCTCCCCAAGCTCCTGAGGCTTTCCTAAACCTCCGGCAGGGTGAAAACAGCCTCCCCAGGCTCCGGAGGCCCTCCAGAGGCCGGAAACAGACCCATTTCCAGATTTCCAGAACTTCCGGGAGGCCCGTTTTTCGCCCTCCCAGAGCCTCTGTGCAGGCCTTGCACTTACCTGGCATCCAAAACGGTCTGCGTGGAGACCCCTGGGAGGGGCGGGGTGGGGTGGGCGGGGCCAGACAGTCCTTGCAACTACCAGTTCGGCGAACCAGATGTAAAATTAGCGTCCGGTTCCCCGAACCGGCTGAATCCCACTCCTGAATGAGGGAGTGACAAATTTGGTGCACCACAGCTCTGAAGGCAGGATCAGAACTGGTATCGGGGTTTACGTATCAGTTTTCGACCTTCTGGGTCCCAGTTTTGGACCTTCTGCCTGGACCCTGGTTGGGTCAGTGGTGTAGGGCATGCGATAATGTGAAGACCGACCGATCTACATCTCAGATTGGCTCATTCAGACATGCAGTTCCTGGAACTGCCACAACTGAGCTAACAAACAGAAATCCCCCCCCCCCTTCAAACCTGTTGCAAACTTAGCTTTGTCTTTAGCCTCTGTGTGAGTACAGGCACAGTCCTCGACTTATGGCCGCCCTTGAGCTCTCCACATTTATGTTGCTAACTGAGAAATTGGTTAAGTGAGAACTTTTGCCCCGTTTTACGACCTTTCTTGCTGCAGTTGTTAAACGAGTCGCTGCAGTTCTTAAGCTAGGAACATGGTTGTTAAGCGAATCTGGCTTCCCCATTGAGTTGGTTTGTCAGATGGTCGCAAAAGGGGGTCATGTGACACTGCAGCCGTCATAAATACAAGTCAGTTGCCAAGCATCCCAGTTTGGATCAGGTGAAGGCTGCAACAGTTTTAAGTATGAAAAATGGTCCTTTTTTCATTGCCGTTATAACTTGGAATGGTCACTAAATGAACCTTTGCAAGTCAAAGGCTACCTGTAATATGTTAATGAATCAATAAGCTACAGAAGTGAACTTAAACGGGCTGGGTTTAACACAAAGTGCCAAAGAAGAATTAAGGTAACCACAAAATTTTTACATCTTGTGTACACACAGGTCTTTAACTGACCCCTTTCAGCATGTTGGACAAATCCAGAGAGCGAGATGGATGTTGAAAGAAAAATCTCCAAGGGTCAATTTGCTAAGAAATCTTGATTTTCCTCGAAACGCGATCAGAGAATTTGTGGGGCCCCAAAAACTTCTATTTTAATTTTTTTATTTTTCCTCCTCCCCTTCCTCTGAATCTCACAACTATCGCAACGGGACTCTTTGGAAGTGAATTCGACAGACTCCAGACTTTTAGAAGCCTTTTAAATATGTATTAATATTGTTATTAGCTTTTTTTTTTTTTTTTTTTAGCGTGAGGAAATGAGCAACTGCCTTTCTACGATCTGTAAATATCTTTGTACATTAGGGGGGGAAAAGCAACGTATGTGTGTGCCTCCCTGTATTGTCTGCGTGTGTGCACGCGTGTAAAATACTCTGTAAGTGTGTATAGAGCGGGACTTTGGGGTAGGCCTTGTCAGGTGTAATATGCACTGCTGGTTTTTGTAAATAAATTGCACTTTTGCCATCCCAGAATTCTGCTTTTTTGCTAAGTCTTGCAAATCTTGAGTTTCTCTCTACTTCTATTCTAAGCGACCCATCACAGATAAATGTCAAAAATAATAGCCCTGTATCAGTGGTGGGATTCAAGTAATTAAATAATCGGGTTTTTTTTTTAAATTTGATTTATATGCCGCCCTTCTCCAGGGACTCAGGGCGGCTTACAATGCATTAAGCAATAGCCTTCATACTTTTGTATATTTATACAAAGTCAGCTTATTGCCCCCACAAACTGGGTCCTCACTCTGCCCTAATGATTTCTTCCAACAATCAGTTTTCCAAATTGCTCAGAAAGTTAACAAACGGTTCTCCCGAAGTGGTGCGAACTGGCTGAATCCCACCACTGCCCTGTATGTATTGGAGAAATAGGAAGGCTCAAATTTGATTTTTTTTTGGGTGATTCCCTCAATTTTTGCACAAGTCCAAAAAGTGTAAGTGTGCAAAATGTACACATTTCTCTCAGGCTGACGTGTCGGTTCCGGGAAGTCTGGGAGTTGAAGTTCACACATGCTAAAATGCAGAGGTGGGTTTCAAAAATTTTTACTACCGGTTCTGTGGGCATGGCTTGGTGGGCGTGGCAGGGGAAAGATACTGTAAAATCTCCATTCCCACCCCATTCCAGGGGAAGGTTACTGCAAAATCCCCATTTCCTCCAGATCAGCTGGGACTCGGGAGGTCGAGAATAGATGGGGGCGGAGCCAGTCAGAAGTTTTACTATCAGTTCTCCGGACTACTCAAAATTTCCACTACCGGTTCTCCAGAACTGGTCAGAACCTGCTGAAACCCACCTCTGCTAAAATGGCCACGGTTGAGAAACACTGGTGTAAAAAGCAGGGATCTCCAACCTGGGCAACTTGAAGACTTGTGGACTTCAACTCCCAGAAGGATCTTTTCTAGAAAGCCTCCAGAATTCTGGGAGTCGAAGTCCACAAGTCTTAAAGTCACCAAGGTTGGAGACTCCCTGGTCTAAAGTGTTATCACAAGTTGGTAAATCACACGGCTGTCCTTAGAAGAACATGTGACGGCCGTGGCCAGGGGGGCTTTCTATCAGGTTCGCCTGATTCGCCAGTTGCATCCCTTTCTGGATCGGGACTCCTTGCGCACGGTCACTCATGCCCTCGTCAGTTCCCGCCTGGACTACTGTAATGCTCTCTACATGGGGCTCCCCTTGCAGAACACCTGGAGGCTCCAACTGGTCCAGAATTATGGGAGCGTCATGGCGCTCCCATGTAACAACTCTCCTGCGCGAGCTGCACTGGCTCCCGGTGGTCCTCCGGTGCGCTTCAAGGTGTTGGTGACCACCTTTAGAGCGCTCCATGGCTTAGGACCTGGATATCTACGAGACTGCCTTCTGCCACCGATAGCCTCCCACCGACCAGTATGCTCCCACAGAGAGGGGCTCCTTGGGGTGCCGTCGGCCAGACAATGTCGACTGGCGACCCCCAGGAGGAGAGCTTTGTGGAATTTGTGGTGGGTGGGTGGGTGTTTGGGGCTTGTTATGTGTGTTGGGTTTTCGGCTTCGTGCTTCTAGGAGCAATGTGTGTGATCGCAGCTGTTTCTTCCTTTTAACTGCCAGTGGGGGTGTGAACTGCCAGTGGGGGGTGGGGAACGAGCTCCCCCCGGAGATACAGACGATTCCGAGTTTACGTACCTTCCACCGGGCCCTCAAGACTTTTTTATTTCAACAAGCCGGGCTGGCCTAACTTCTCCAATTGTTAATTTTAATTTTAATTTTAAATGGGATATTTTAATTGTTGGGCCAAATTATTTAATATATTTCAAACTGCTTTTAAATTTCTGTATTCTATGTTTTTTACCTTTGGCTGTTCACCGCCCTGAGTCCTTCGGGAGAAGGGCAGTATATAAATTTAAATATAAATAAATAAATGCGCACACCCAAGTACCTAGTAGCGCATTTCTGCCCATGGTTGAAGGTCTCCTGTAAGATCACAAGACAATTGTTCAGACGTATAATTTCCTCTGCCACCCACAAAGATCATAGAAAAACATCCACCTCAACCCTGCTTCAGCCAACAGGTGGAGAAGCATGGGTGTTACCGTCAAGCTATAGGTCTTAAGTCATCCAACATTGAATAAAAACCCATTTGTGAAGGGATCAGGTAGAGTGACAGAGTTGAAAGGGACCTCAGAGGTCTTCAAGTCCAACCCCTTGCTCACGTAGGAGGCCCTATCAGACAAGTGGCTGTCTGATCTTTTTCTGGAAAGCCTCCAGTGATGGACAGTCACATTCACAACTTCTGAAAGCAAAGCCATTCCGCTGGTTAATTATTCTCATTTTCAGAAGTAACAGAAGTTGGAAGGACCTTGGAGGTCTTCTAGTCCAGCCCCTTGCTGAAGCAGGAGACCCTATACCGTCCCAATCAAATGGCCATCCAGTCTCTCCTTGAAAACCTCCAGTGATGAAGCACCCACAACTTCTGGAGGCAAGCTGTTCCACTGGTCAATTGTTCTCACTGTCAGGAAGTTTCTCCTTATTTCCAGGTTGAATCTCTTTAATAATCTTCCACGTGTTACTTCTTGTCCTCAGGTGGTTTTCTGGCCCCCTCCCTATAACCTCCTCACCGGTTGCAGGTGCACTTCCTGCCATCCACAAGCCAAGCTAAGTGGGACAAATCAAAAATGCAAGATTGCAAAGCCATTCAGCGTTGCCTTCGGAAGTTGTGGGGAGCTTCATCCCTGGAGGCTTTCAAGAAGAGACTGGACTGCTACCTCTCAGATATGGTGTAGGGTCTCCTGCCGGGGTGGGGGGTTGGACTAGATGACCTACAAGGTCCCTTCCAACTCTGTTAATCTGTAATTAATCCTTCACCCTCCAAGCGTTAGCTTGTGACACGGAAAGGAGCCGTTTGCTAAAAGCTGTTAGCTTGTGCTTTGTGGTTTTGGAGATGCTGTGTAGGGGAAGTTGTGTTTGGAGACAAGCTGAACTCACTTCCTGTCAGGTCTGAGTAAGAACAGAACAATTTTTAATGAAAAAAAAAAGGCACAGATTTTCTACCTTGCTCTCATCTACCACCGTAGCAACCTTCCAGTTGGCCGAGAACCACATTTCTGGTGGCCCCGTAGTTGCAAAGACAGATCTCCCAACCTTTCTGAAGGACCTTGGATGTGACGAGCGTTGGACACGGAGATTAGAATGAATTTAAGGAAGCAGAAGATCGCCATGGGCCAGTAAATGAGTTCTGGAGAGGCAGGAACTCAACCATCGACAGGTTTCTCCTGAAGACCGATGGACTTGGGCCCAACCTTGGGAGGAGAAGTTGATACGAGGGTGTAAGGGTTGAGGGAGAGGAGGAGAGCAGCCTCCTTCGCACCCATGTCGCTGGCCATGAAAGCTCGGCAGAAGGTGAAACGGAAAGGACCGGCGAAAGATCGGGTCTTTGGGTGTGATCTGATGGAACATCTGCAATCATCTGGCCATGATAGTAAGTAATTTTCTTTTTCTTTTTTTTTTGGAGACTGGCACAAATTTTTCACTCCTCTTGAAGGTTCATTAGACCAAACAGGAAATGGGGTGAGAACTTCTGCTAAACAACAAAACTTGGTTCTGAATGTGCTTTGCTGGTTTTCTGAGAAGGCTTCAGCCTTCGGTAATCCATAATCGTAGAATCAAGAGCGGGAAGGGACTGGAGATCTTCTAGTCTGAGGGCCTTCAACTCTGGGGGACTTCAACTCCCAGAATTCTCCAGCCAGCCATACTGGCTGGCTGGAGAATTCTGGAAGTTGAGGTCCACAAGACCTGAAGTGACCAAGATTGGAGACCCCTGCTCTACTCCAGTTTATGCACAAATCTAGGGCCCTTACAAGAGTCTTCTCCAAGCTCCAGATGCATTATTAGATATTCACCCAGCATATTCCGAGATTAACAATCACATCTTGTTAAAGAACAAATAAAAAAAATTAAAACCATGTTGGTCAAAGCCGTCGGCAGCATTATAAAAACAACATTCATTTGCACCTAGCGATGAAGCTGATTTAAACTGGGGCCCAAACTTTTGAAGGAGTGAGAACAAGTGTGATAAGACCATATTTGGAATATGGCAACCAGTTCTGTTCACCCCGATAGAAAAAAATATGTTAGACTGTAGAAATTTCCTAAGAGTGAGAACCATGTACCAATGGAACAACTTGCCTCCAGAAGTTGTGGATGCTCCATTACTGGAGGATTTTAAGAAGAGAGAGCCATTTGTCCTGGATGGTATGTCCTGCTTGGTCAGGAGGTTGGACTAGAAGACCTCTAAGATCCCTTCCAACTCTATTGTTCTTTGTATCTACTGTAATTCTCCCTCTATGGCTGAGTCGATCCTAACCTGCTGAGTTTACAAAACCAGGAGATAGTCAGCAAATTTTCTGTGAATCATCCTGGATATTTATAAAGGGCCATTTGATTCATCGTTGGCATGAGATACCCAAATAATAATAATAAATAAATAAAATTAGGGGTGCCTCAAAATGGAGTCACCGTGTGAGGACAGGCGGGCAAAAATCAGGATTCCTGTAGCACCTTCTCCAATTAGTAAATTTTACGAATCCACGTAAGCTTTGGTGAGCTGCATCCGATGATGTGAATTGTAGCGCATGGAAGTTTGTGGCTTTTAATTAAAGTTGCTAACTACGCAAGCAGTTATTGTGTAGTTGTGTAGTTATTGCGCCGGATTTATTCTGATCCAAAGCAGTCTGAAATTACAATCTGTATGAGCCCACTCAGTTTTACAGCTCAGAAATTGTTCATTTCACTCAAATGTTTGGCAACCGCTTTAAATGTTTGCTGTTTCTGAAATAGATATTAGCCGCCGTGCAGAGTTTGATATCAGTAAAATGATGCTTTATTTCCTGGATGTTATTCCTTGCCCGCCATCCAGGATTGTCATATCGAATCTCAGATATGGATTATTATTAAATCTGTGATTGCTGTGTCATTTTGCAGTTCCCTCAACCACCATATTGGACGTGAGTTCGGTTTCTCTTTCCTGCCCTTCCTTCTTTGAACTACATTCACACATGATTTAGCCGGACCAGAAAATTCTAAAAAAAAAGTTTCTTAAACTTTTATATTCAGGTCTAAAATGAAAACTGTTTGCATAGGGAATAATTGTGTGGAAAAAAATAATAATAAGAAGAAATATGCTATATATTGTGCAGAGCAGTCCCAATTCACATCTCCTAATGCACAACAGAGTTTACTTAATTCCTATTTTTTTTTTTTTTAATTTGATTTATATGCCACCCTTCTCCGGAGACTCAGGGCAGCTTACAATGCGTTAAGCAATAGCCTTCATACTTTTGTATATTTTATACAAAGTCAGTTTATTGCCCCCACAAACTGGGTCCTCATTTCATCTACCTTAGAAAGGATGGAAGGCTGAGTCAACCTTGAGCCTTGGAGAGATTCGAACCAGCAGTAAATTGCAGGCAGCTGTGTTAATAACAGGGTGCGTAGACCACTGTACTATCAAGGCTCTCTCTATTGTTGAAATTGAAATAACTGTGGGAATTGCATTCAGCTTATTTTTACTTTTTTTATTTGATCATTAAATTGATATTCTTACCAGCGTACACGACAATGTTCCGTGGTGCACAGCTAGAAAATATTTCTAATAAAGAAAGCAGAGCATCTTTGAATATACTTGCAAGGTTTCCTGCAAATTCCATATGAAATAGCAATAGCACTTAGACTAATATACTGCTTCACATTGTGCTTTCCAGCCCCCTCTAAGCGGTTTACAGAGTCAGCCTCTTGCCCCCAACAATCTGGGTCCTCGTTTTACTGACTTCGGAAGGATGGAAGGCTGAGTCGAAATAGTAAGAGATATCCAGCAATGTTAAGTTTAGGATGAAAAATCTCAAACCAACGTTGAAAGCAGACATATTCAAACCCACAGCCGCATTCCACCATTAATACAGAATAATGAAGGTAGTCCTTAACTTACGACAGTTCGTTCAGTGACCGTTCGAAGTTAAAATAGTGGGGGGAAAGGGACTAATGAGTGTTTTTCACATTTACAAGCATCGCAGCCTCCCATGATCACGTGATCAAAATTCAGATGCTTGGCCACTGAGTCATATTTTATGATGGTCGTAGTGCCCTGGAGTCATGTGATCCCCTTTTGTGACCTCCTGACGAGGAACATCAATGGGGAAGCCAGGATCACTGAACAATGGCGTTATGTTGAGTTGCGTGACTAACTCAACAATTCAACGAATTCCGTGATTCACTTAACAACTATGGCAAGGTATGTGTGGTAGAGTGGGGCAAAATTCTCTGTTTCACTTAACAAGAGAAATTTTGAGGTCATAAGTCATGGACTACCTGGATAGGATAGGATAGGATAGGATAGGATAGGATAGGATAGGATAGGATAGGATAGGATAGGATAGGATAGGACAGGACAGGACAGGACAGAACGGAGGGGAGGGGAGGGGAGGGGAGAAGAGAAGAGAAGAGAAGAGAAGAGAAGAGAAGAGAAGAGAAGAGAAGAGAAGAGAAGAGAAGAGAAGAGAAGAGAAGAGAAGAGAAGTTGGAAGGGGCCTTGGAGGTCTTCTAGTCCAGGGGTCAGCAACCTGCGGCTCTGGAGCCGCATGTGGCTCTTTCACCCCTCTGCTGCGGCTCCCTGTCACTCAAAATATGCATCACAACCGCCAATGTGCAACACCCGCCGGCACGCGATTTATTGAGCTTTTCAACCCCCGGCAGGCCAACCATGGATAAATCCAAGAAAAGAAAAGTTTCAGAAGAAAACAGAATATTTAATTCAACTACGTAGGCTACTTTTGTGGCCGCTCAAAAAATAGTCAGGCACGGGAAGGGTTTTGTGGCTCCCGGTGTTTTCTTTTCTGTGGATGAGCTAATGACAGGTGCCCATTTTTCAGAAGTTAAAGTTGCAAGGAATTGTCCATCCAGGATCTCCATCCTTACAGCCAGCCAGTGAAGAGCGGGAGAAGGCTCTGAATTAGCTTTTCTTATCAGGATCTCTGTCCAGGTGGCTGTGGTTTTTAATATTCTTTCCACTCTAAAAAATTAGATGGGAAACTATATGCCACAAAGTTCTAGAATCAATTTTTATTTCTTTTTCTTTTTAATTTTAATACAAACAATCCATCTTCCATTAAACAGGTACAAATGTCTTGTGCAATATCAATTAAAATTTACAGTCACACTCATTATTTGCCTATTTTTAATACTGATATACATAGCACATCTAATACCATAACAATTCTCTTCTTAGCTTATTTAATTCTATTAATATATTTTCTGTATTTCACTAATCTACTTCCCCCCCCTAATTTTCTTATTTATTCTCTAGCCATCGGTAAAATAGTTCGCATATAATATAATATTCACTTTGTTCCTTCTCTTCGATTGCAAGTGTTAACCTATTCATTTCTGCACATTCTAATATTTTCCTAATCACATTCTCATCTGTAAGGATCTCTTCACTTTTCCAATTTTGTGCAAATACAATCCTAGCTGCAGTTATTACATGGATAATCAAATATACCTTCTCTTTACTATAAGTTTCTGGTAAAATCCCCAACAAAAATATTTCGGGTTTCAAATCAATATGTTGTTATAGGAGCCTTTATTTCTATGATTTCCTCCACCTGTCACCTACAGTAGTGGGTTTCAAATCCCAGCACTACCGGTTCACTATTGGTAGCACGGGGGCGTGTGCGCTTGCTTTGTGAGGGTGTGGTGCTTTGGCGCATGCACAGAATGTTTTTAATGACGTCTGACCCTGGCCAGAGCCTCCCGCCACCGCTGCCGCTACAGGTTTGCCCGAACTGGGGCGAACTGAGAGCAACCCACCACTGTTCACCTAGCCCAGTGATGGCTAACCTTTTTGCCATCGCATGCCAGGAAAGGGGAAGGCAGGGGAGGGTCACGTGCGCACATGCCCACGCGCATGCGTGTGCAACCCCCTCCCCCCTCCCCCCCGCTCCTGGCACATGATGGCCTGGTAGGCCCGTTTTTCTTTCTTACCTGGTTCCAGATCCTCTCTGTGTATCTAGGAAGGGCGAAAACAGCCTTTCCCACTCCCTTGGAGGTCCTACGGAGGCTGAAAGGGCCCATTTCCCAACTCTCGGTGGGACAGGAAGTGACATTTTTTGCTGTCCCCAGCCTCCAGAACCTCACTAGGAGTCTGTAGGAGCCTCTCTAGGAGTCTGTAGGAGCCTCTCTAGGCGTCTCTGGAGGCTGGGGACAGGAAAAAACGTCACTTCCTGTCCCACCGGGAGTCGGGAAATGGGCCCTTTCAGCCTCCGTAGGGCCTCCAAAAGGGTGGGAAAGGCTGTTTTCACCCTTCCCAGATACACAGAGAGGATCTGGAGCCAGGTAAGAAAGAAAAACAGGCCTTCCCCATCCCCCCAGGCCCTCCAGAGGCAGGAAACAGAAGTTTCCCTACTTCTGGTGGGCCCAGAAGGCCCG